CTACCCCGCATCCTCACCCCCTACACCCCCCCCCCCCCCCCCTCACCTTGGTGTGTCTGGAGCTGAGTGACAGTGATGTAAAAAAGTGAGGATTAGGAGGTAGGACTTAAATCACGCCGAAGTATTGATTTTTCATTACTGCAGATCTCGGACAGAGGCTGCAGACCACAGGATCTCACTTGGGCCAGACGGGGCTCAAGGGTCCGGCTCAAAGGGGTCCGGCTCAAGGGTCATTGTCCAATGTATTTTTTACACCATTTCTTTCTCTTAAAAAAGGATTTACAGTGATCCAAAATGGTTTCTTGATCCAAAATGGTTCTTGATCCAAATCTGGTTCTTGATCAAAAATGGTTCTTGGTCTAAAACTTGGTTCTTGATCCAAAATGGTTTTGGTCTAAAACTGGTTTTGGTTAAAAGTGGCTTTGGTCCAAAAGTGGTTCCTGGTCCAAAAGTGGTTCTTGGTCCTTTGGTTCAGATGGTGGATGATGGTTCTGTGGATGTTGAGGGGAGTATTTGTTTTTGGACCAGTTTAGTTTTGTCTTGTGGACTTTAGAGATGCATCGTTAAATGCACTATATGTTTTTCACATTTTTGAGAGAAAAAGACAGCAGGAGGTAAGAGTGATGTCACACAGTTCAAAGTGGGGTGGCTTGGTCTTTACAGGCGTGGGTTCAGACACATGACGTGGAGAGGAGGGTTTGGAGAGTTAATATCACAGTAGAAGTATCAGTATCTGGTTCTTCCAGCAGACCGTTAGGTTTAATGGTTTAATGGTTTTAATGGTTTAATGGTTTAATGGTTTACTTCAGTCTCGGTCAGAGATAAATAAAGTGTTGGTGTAAAGTCAGTGTGAAATGTGAAATGAAGCGTCTAAAGTCAACCTGCTGCTGCTCAGCCTCATAACACAGGAAAACACAGAGTGGACTCTTGTCCTCGGAGACTCAGAGAGACCTCAGAGAGACCTGGAGACTTCAGGGACTCAGAGAGACTAAGAGACTCTGGGTCCTCTATATACTGTTTATATATATAATATATATATATATATATATAGAAGCAATTTTAAGGTTTATATATATATTATAAACTTAGGAAATTGCTTTCTTTGAATAAGCTTTGATTATTGAATCATGAGTCTTTTATATATTTACAAATGTGTTCTTCTACAATCCAAAGCTCATGGAGGCAGAAGGAAGTGTCATGGACAAAGTTTGTGCCCAACTCGTTCTGGCTCTTATTGATTAAAAGTAAAGTCTTGAAACTCACTGGAGGATGTTGTGCGGAGTGGGTCCTGTGTGGTTGGAGTGAAAACTGCCTTGGACGACTGATTGTCTGGGTCTAAAACATAACATGAGGTGAAGTAAATGTTTTTTTTCTTTGCAGTCGATCCAGATCACAAACTACTTCCTGGCTCTGCACTGTCAGGAAGTGGGAGGAAGAAGTGTGGGGATGGCCAACGTGGACAGTTTTGTGACGTAAGTCGTCTGGGACGTTCTTACACGAGGAGGACTCTCTCTCTTTATATTACTACTATGTTATATATTCAGTATCTATCTTTCTCTTTCTATATTCTCTATTAAACATGTTTTAAACCATTGTATATGGTTGGGATGGACCAGAGCCTCTTGATTGAGACTCAGACAGGAAGGAGACTGAGAGGAGCAGCGCCTCCTCTGGACATTACTGCTAACACAAGTTTGAATGTTCAATATTGGACAGAATATCAAAAATATCAGTAATCATAATAATTATAATAATGTTGCTCAGTTGTCAGTTGCCCAGGGAAGTTGTGGATGTTGTAGTTCACTCATGGTGTGTGGAGTGAAGCAGAATGTTCTAAGAAGCTTTCGACCAAATATCGTCTAATTAATGAATATTATCATCTCCAAAATTATATATTGCATCCAATATTTTTGGTTTGGATTATAGAAGCCTCTTGTTAGATACATGTACAGTATCGATACATTGGTACAGTATAGATAGATAGATACATGTACAGTATAGATAGATACATGTACAGTTAAAGATAGATACATGTACAGTATAGATATATACATACATAGTACAGTATTAGATATATACATGTACAGTATAGATACTTGTACAGTATAGATAATGTAAGTATAGATAGATACTGTACAGTATAGTATAGATTAATGTTACAGTTATAGATAGATACATGTACAGTATAGATAGATATACAGTACATGATAGTATATGTACAGTATAGATATACGTTACGTATAGTTTATACATGTACAGTATAGATGCATGTACAGTATAGATAATGTCAGTATAGATAGTCATGTACAGTATAGATGATACATGTAAGTTTAGATCATGTACCGTATAGTAGATACATGTACAGTTTAGATAGATACTGTACAGTATCGTAGATAATGTACAGTATCAGATAGTTCATGTACAGTTAGATAGTTAGCATGTCTGTATAGATAGTACTGTCAGAAGATAGATACATGTACAGTATAGATAGATCATGTACAGTATAGATAGGATTCTGACTGTATAGTAGTTCATGTCAGTAAACGTTAGACCCATTGTCATGAGCGGATCCCTTTCTCATATGGTCTCCCTCCCTGTGGGTTTCCCTAGTGCTCCCCAAGGTTTCTCACTTTTTCCCACTGGGTTTTTTAAGAGTTTTTCCTTGTCGATGCAGGAGGGTCTTGTTGGACAGTTAGTGTCCAACAGAAAGGATTGGTGATGATCAGGACACTTTAGCATTCTACAACATGTATGGACATTTTCTTCTGTGTGTGCTTTATATTCTTCATGTGTTTTAACTGTTGATTCTCTGACCTGTGTTGGTGATTTCAATGGTTTTGTTAAGTCTCTGAGATGACTTCTGTTGTGACCTAGGGCTATACAAGAATAAATTTTGTATTGTATTGTATTGTATAGATATATACATACATACAGCCTGTACAGTATAGATATATACATACATACAGCCTGTACAGTATAGATATATACATACACACAGCCTGTACAGTATAGATATATATACATACATACATACAGCCTGTACAGTATAGATATATACATACATACAGCCTGTACAGTATAGATGTATACATACGTACAGTATAGATGACATACAAATACAGCTTTATGTAATATCTGACCTCTCAGCGCTGCTTACATCAATGGAACCAATCATCCATTCACTCATTCATACACAGCGGCACAGCCACTGGAGGCAAAGTAGGCTAAGTGTGAGGCCCGAGGACACGACAACAGCAGCACCACAGCAGCAGATCCAGGATCAGACCACAGGGAGAGAAGGATGTAGCACAGGTACAAAACTGGTAAGATTGGAAAAAAGGACTTCTCTTTCTGTTGTCTCTTTCTACAGCCTCAGTGCTGGGTCCACAGCCTCAGTCCTGGGTCCACAGCCTCAGTGCTGGGTCCACAGCCTCAGTGCTGGGTCTACAGCCTCAGTGCTGGGTCTACAGCCTCAGTCCTGGGTCTACAGCCTCAGTCCTGGGTCTACAGCCTCAGTGCTGGGTCTACAGCCTCAGTGCTGGGTCTACAGCCTCAGTCCTGGGTCTACAGCCTCAGTCCTGGGTCCACAGCCTCAGTCCCGGATCTACAGCCTCAGTCCTGGGTCTACAGCCTCAGTCCTGGGTCCACAGCCTCAGTCCTGGATCTACAGCCTCAGTCCTGGGTCTACAGCCTCAGTCCTGGATCTACAGCCTCAGTCCTGGGTCTACAGGAGAACTCTCCTTCAAGGCTTATATAAGCCAAGCAACTAAAACGGCGTACTTCCACTTACGGAACATCGCTAAAATTAGGAATTTCCTTCCTAAAAGTGACGCGGAAAAACTCATTCACGCGTTTGTCACCTCAAGGCTTGACTACTTACTGACCTAGGGCTATACAAGAATAAATTGTATTGTATTGTATTGTACAGCCTCAGTGCTGGGTCTACAGCCTCAGTGCTGGGTCTACAGCCTCAGTGCTGGGTCTACAGCCTCAGTCCTGGGTCTACAGCCCATGGATCTATAATAATAACTGGATAGAGTATTACTAGCTTACAGCTGTCCCACCTATGGCCACAGGGGACGCTGTGGTACTGCAGACTAAAATCACGTGGGCTACCCAGAAAAAGTCCCATAGAACTCAATGTAAACTAAAACAGCTCGACCTCAGCTGACAGAGAACCTGACAGAGAACCTGACACAGCTTTCAAAAAGATCGGATTTTGTGAGGATTTTAGTGTTCCTTGTCACTTTTGAACTTTTTTTCTTCTTAAATCCTTCGGCTTTCTTTAAATCCACACTTTACTGCCACAAACTCTGCTCCTTTCCTTGCTGCTCTGATCAGCTCTGATTGGTCAGAGCGCGGCCGAGCCCCTCTGTGCACGTGCATGAGAGCCACACACGCGTATTTCTGAAAACCTCTGTGTGTTAAGAATGTTTATGTATAATGTATTCTCACATTAACATTTAAATGTGTTATTGATATTAGTGTTATTGAGCGTGGCTAGCTCCGTTAGCTTCTCTCAGAGACAGTTGTGACGAAGTGTACGAACTACTGTCAGAGTAATCTGAGTATTTTACACCTGAAGTACAAGCACAGAGTGCGTTGCCAAAGGGCAGCGGCCATAATTGTTTTGAGAGTCTGTTATCAAGAAATATTGATCTCAGCTGGATAATAAATTATGATAAAATAATTGAATATTTAAATTAATAAACAAATGAACTTCTAATAAGATTTTTGTGCAAAAGTCAAAGCCCTAATTTACTGTAAACAGCTGTAGTTTTGCCTCGCTGTGATTGGCTCGGCTGTAGACGCCACACACACACACACACACACACGCACACGCACACATACACACACACACGCACACACAAAGGCACACGCACACACACACAGACACACCTTCTCCCTGCATTTACCACAGAATCCGCGGTGGAAACAGCTGCGGGTCTCCTCCACAGAATCAATGCTTTCGCTGCTATTTATAAATAATTCAGAGCATCATGGAGCAGCCACATCCACCAACCACCACCGAACCTCCCAGTACCACCACCGAACCTCCCAGTACCACAACCGAACATCCCAGTACCACCACCGAACCTCCCAGTACCACCACCGAACCTCCACCAACCACCACCGAACCTCCCAGTACCACCACCGAACCTCCCAGTACCACCACCGAACCTCCCAGTACCATCACCGAACCTCCAAGTACCACCACCGACCCTCCTCCTAGTACCATCAGTACCAGACCGAACCTCCCAGTACCATCAGCACACACGTAAACATGAGCAGGTGACAGGATGAAGAGCAGGTCTCAGCATCTGTCGCTGAAACGGTCGTTCAGACACAACGTGGACGTAATTGCTGTGTCTGTGAGAGGAGGAGAAGAGGAGGAGAGAGGAGGTGGGGGGAGAAGAGGAGGAGAGAGGAGGTGGGGGGAGAAGAGGAGGAGAGAGGAGGAGGAGAGAGGAGGTGGGGGGAGAAGAGGAGGAGAGAGGAGGAGGAGAGAGGAGGTGGGGGGAGAAGAGGAGGAGAGAGGAGGAGGAGAGAGGAGGTGGGGGGGAGAAGAGGAGGAGAGAGGAGGTGGGGGGAGAAGAGGAGGAGAGAGGAGGTGGGGGGAGAAGAGGAGGAGGTGGGGGGAGAAGAGGAGGAGAGTGGAGGTGGTGGGAGAGGAGGAGAGGAGGTGGGAGAGAGGAGGAGGTGCAGAGACATAGAGACACCGCGGGAGTCGACACCGGGAGGTAACGGAGATAACGCGGCACTGACCTGGGTGTAAAAGACTGAGTTCTCCGGAGAAGGACTTCCTCCTCCTGCTCCTGCTGCTGCTGCTGCTGCTGCTCTCTGTGCGTCCCACCCTCTCTCTCACTGGTGCCTCTCTCCCTCCTCCCCCTCCCCCTCCCTCCTCCCCCTCCCTCCTCCCCCTCCCCCTCCCTCCTCCCCCTCTCTCCTCCCTCCCTCTCTCCCAGTGGCACCAGTGCACAAGTCTCATTTAGGCATAATTGAGAGCAGCTGTTGCGTGTTTACTTCCTGTCATTGGACTCATACAGAACAGAACACACACAGCAGGGAAGGTTATTTATGTAGCACACTATACCAGAGAGAGCAGAGAGAGAGACCAGAGGGAGAGCAGAGAGAGTCCAGAGAGAGAGAGACCAGGGAGAGACCATAGAGAGACCAGAGAGAGACCAGAGAGAGACCTTAGAGAGAGCAGAGAGAGACCAGAGAGAGAGACCAGAGAGAGACCAGAGAGAGACCTTAGAGAGAGCAGAGAGAGACCAGAGAGAGACCAGAGAGAGAGCCACACTATAGTTTTTCCATCATACAAACTGTATTACAGACGTGTCCAGAATGTACTGTAATTGCTGGACTATATATATATTTTTTCGTTTTTATAACCACACAGCGATGCGGCTAATATAGCGATGAGGCTAATATAGCAATGCGGCTAGTATAGCAATGCGGCTAGTATAGCAATGCGGCTAATGTAGCGATGAGGCTAATATAGCGATGCGGCTAATATAGCGATTAGGCTAATATAGCAATGCGGCTAATATAGCAATGCGGCTAATATAGCAATGCGGCTAATATAGCGATTACGCTAATATAGCGATGCTGCTAATATAGCAATGCTGCTAATATAGCGATGCTGCTAATATAGCGATGCGGTTAATATAGCAATTAGGCTAATATAGCGATGTGGCTAATATGGTGATAAGGCTAATACAGTGATGCGGCTAATATAGCGATGCGGCTAATATAGTGATGAGGCTAATATAGCGATGAGGCTAATATAGTGATGAGGCTAATATAGTGATGAGGCTAATATAGCGATGAGGCTAATATAGTGATGAGGCTAATATAGCGATGAGGCTAATATAGTGATGAGGCTAATATAGCGATGAGGCTAATATGTGTATTTTTATTCAGGACTTATTATTTTGACTAAAGTTTTAGCAGCGACAGTTACATCTTGTTTATTGTTAAAACAGATGGAGGTGAATCAGCGATGGAAACTAACGGTGAGACTGCCCAAACCTGCGGCTTATATTCCAGTGCGTTTTAACATTTATTTTCTGATCAAATTTAGAGTGTGTGGCTTATGTACAGGTGCAGCTTATGTACAGGTGCAGTTTATGTACAGGTGCAGCTTATGTACAGGTGCAGCTTATGTACAGGTGAGACTTATATACAGGTGCAGTTTATGTACAGGTGAGGTTTATGTACAGGTGCAGCTTATGTACAGGTGAGGCTTATATACAGGTGCAGTTTATGTACAGGTGAGGCTTATGTACAGGTGAGGCTTATATACAGGTGCAGTTTATGTACAGGTGAGGCTTATGTACAGGTGAGGCTTATATACAGGTGCAGTTTATGTACAGGTGAGGCTTATATACAGGTGCAGTTTATGTACAGGTGAGGCTTATGTACATGTGCAGCTTATATACAGGTGAGGTCCCGGTCTCCCCGTGGCGTGCCGGTCTAATCCTCTCATTGTTGCTGAGCAAACACTGAGGACAAACACAGGTGCAGCGACAGGAAACCGCGGCCTCAGCTGCAAACACACGGTCGCTACGGAAACATGAGCCATGACAGAGGACGCGCACCACTGCAACACTGCACTTTCTGAGGCATAACCCTGGGTGTAGAGACATTTATTTGTATAGCACAGTTCATACACAATACTCACAGGACAGAAACAGAATCATAAATTATCAGGTTATTAAAAAGAGTTTGAACTGTCGCCCCTGATGCAGGAGGACAGAGAGGGTCTTTGTGGTCCCTCCCTGATGCAGGAGGACAGAGAGGGTCTTTGTGGTCGTCCCTGATGCAGGAGGACAGAGAGGGTCTTTGTGGTCGTCCATGATGCAGGAGGACAGAGAGGGTCTTTGTGGTCCCTCCCTGATGCAGAAGGACAGAGAGGGTCTTTGTGGTCCCTCCCTGATGCAGGAGGACAGAGAGGGTCTTTGTGGTCGTCCCTGATGCAGGAGGACAGAGAGGGTCTTTGTGGTCCCTCCCTGATGCAGGAGGACAGAGAGGGTCTTTGTGGTCCCTCCCTGATGCAGGAGGACAGAGAGGGTCTTTGTGGTCCCTCCCTGATGCAGGAGGACAGAGAGGGTCTTTGTGGTCGTCCCTGATGCAGGAGGACAGAGAGGGTCTTTATGGTCGTTCCTGATGCATCTGCTCCTTTAGAAGAGGAAGAGACGGAAAATCATCAATAACTCTTCTGGCCCCCCATGTTCCAGCTTCTTCCCTCTGTTGGCTGAGGTGCAGGACATCAGGATATGCTAACACGCTAACATGCTAACAGTGTTTTCAGTCTGAATGTCCCTGTGTCACTCTGGGAACTCTTGCACAAAGTGCTTTTACTGAAAATGAAGGCTCCACAAACTGTTTACTGCGAATTGGACTCTTAGCAACGGCTGCGTCTGTGTCATGGTCTCTTCCACAGACAGCACCAGCACCGGCACCGGCACCGGCACTGGCACCAGCACCAGCTCCTGCTCCTGCACCAACACCAGCTCCAGCTCCAGCTCCAACACCAGCACCAGCACCAACACCAGTACCAGCACCAGCACCAGCACCAACACCAGCACCAGCACCAGCACCAGCACCAGCACCAACACCAGCACCAACACCAGCACCAACACCAGCACCAGCACCAACACCAGCACCAGCACCAGCACCAACACCAGCACCAGCACCAGCACCAGCACCAACACCAGCACCAGCACCAACACCAGCTCCTGCTCCTGCACCAACACCAGCTCCAGCTCCAGCTCCAACACCAGCTCCAGCACCAGCTCCAGCTCCAGCACCATCACCAGCTCCAGCGCCAGCTCCAGCACCAGCACCAACACCAGCACCAGCACCAACACCAGCTCCAGCTCCAGCACCATCACCAGCTCCAGCGCCAGCTCCAGCACCAGCACCAACACCAACACCAGCACCAACACCAGCTCCAGCTCCAGCACCAACACCAGCACCAGCACCAACACCAGCACCAGCACCAACACCAGCTCCAGCTCCAGCACCAGCACCAGCTCCAGCGCCAGCTCCAGCACCAACACCAGCACCAGCACCAACACCAGAACCAACACGAGCACCCCAACACCAACACCAGCACCAGCTCCAGCTCCAGCACCAGCTCCAGCACCAGCACCAGCTCCAGCACCAGCACCAGCACCAGCACCAACACCAGCTCCAGCTCCAGCACCAACACCAGCACCAACACCAGCTCCAGCACCAACACCAGAACCAACACGAGCACCCCAACACCAACACCAGCACCAGCACCAGCACCAGCACCAGCACCAGCACCAACACCAGCACCAGCTCCAGCACCAGCACCAGCACCAGCACCAACACCAGCACCAGCTCCAGCACCAGCAGCACAGACAGCTCCACAGACCCCAGATCCGACTTGCGGCGCCACCTGCAGGTGAAAGCCAGGTCCTATCAGACCTGTGAATCTAGGCAGGGCAGGGCCTGGTTAGTGCTGTGATGGGTGACCTCTGAGCTAAGCAGGACAGAGCCTGGTTAGTGCTGTGATGGGAGACCTCTGAGCTAAGCAGGACAGAGCCTGGTTAGTGCTGTGATGGGAGACCTCTGAAGCTAAGCAGGGCAGGGCCTGGTTAGTTACATTTAGAAGGATGTATTTACAAATGTCTGTATGGATGGATGTGTTTCTGTATCTTTCTAAACTGCCATTGTGTCCTTCGGCAAGACACTTCCCCCACATGAGTCTGGTGTGTGTGTGAATGGTGTTGGTGGTGGTGGGGGGGGGGAGGGGGGGCTGATGGCACAGACTGGTTGCCTCGCTTCTGTCAGTGTGCCCCAGGGCAGCTGAAAGAATAATGATGTGGAGAGAATGAGAGTCCTGAAAAGCTCTGTATAAAACCAAAACATATGGGACTTAAACCCAACACCTGCTGCTTCTGGGCGGGGCATCTGGGCTTTTCTCTGAGAAAACACTGTGCCTCGTCTTTGAGAAAGAGCCCAGAGCTGCAGCGACTCTTCAGACGACTGCCACATAATCACTTTAATCAGAGACTGGACCGAGCACTAACACAATTACACACACAGACACACGCACACACAGAGACACACACAGAGAGACACACACACACACACACACAGACAAACAGAGACACACACACAGAGACACACTCAAACACACACACACACACAGACAAACAGAGACACACACACACACAGAGACACACACACAGAGACACACTCACATACATATATACACACACACTGACACGCCCACACATATACTCACACCTACACATACAGTATACATAACTCAGACTCCGAGGATCACAGGGACTGGCCTCCTGCTGGGACTCTGAGGAGCACAGGGACTGGCCTCCTGCTGGGACTCTGAGGAGCACAGGGACTGGCCTCCTGCTGGGACTCTGAGGAGCACAGGGACTGGACTCCTGCTGGGACTCTGAGGAGTACAGGGACCGGCCTCCTGCTGGGACTGAGGATCACAAGGACTGGCCTCCTGCTGGGACTCTGAGGAGCACAGGGACTGGCCTCCTGCTGGTCCCAGAGTCAGGACTAAACATAAGGAGGCAGTGTTTCAGATTCATGCTAAAATCGACTCTGACGATTTTAGTTTAAAATAAACTGTGATTATTTCTGTTTCCTGCTCCTTCAGTTTCAGAGAAACGAGAAAACAAACGTGTCTCAGTGAAATGACTGTTCCTCTATGAAAGGAGTGTGAAGATGGCTCCATCTGGTGGACACTAGGCAGTACTGCACCGACGTTTGTAAATGAGTTATTTAAATAATGTAAAATAAATACATATCCTTACAGACTGTAAAGGGGAGAGTAGAGACCAGGGGAGAGACCAGGGGAGAGACCAGGAGAGGAGAGACCAGGGGAGAGACCAGAGGAGAGACCAGGGGAGAGACCAGAGGAGAGACCAGGGGAGAGACCAGGAGAGGAGAGACCAGGGGAGGAGAGAACAGGAGAGGAGAGACTAGGGTAGGAACCAGGAGAGGAGAGACCAGAGGAGAGTAGAGACCAGGGAAGAGTAGAGACCAGGGAAGAGTAGAGACCAGGGGAGAGACCAGAGGAGAGACCAGAGGAGAGTAGAGACCAGAGGAGAGTAGAGACCAGGGGAGAGACCAGAGGAGAGTAGAGACCAGAGGAGAGTCCAGAGGAGAGTAGAGACCAGAGCTGAGACCAGGGGAGATACCAGAGGAGAGATGAGACCAGGGAAAAAGAGAGACCTCGCACACATGTATAAGAAAAAGTCGTGGTCTGTTTTAACATTTTACTTTTACACCAACAGGAAACATACAGGAAGTAACATACAGGGTCAGGGGGAGCTCCTGTGGATGGGGGGGTCAGGGGGAGCTCCTGTGGATGGGGGGGGGGTTCAGGGGGAGCTCCTGTGGATGGGCGGTGGAGGCGGAGGCCGACACTGTCAAAGAAAAACAAGAACCATGTGAGACTCCTTTAGGTCAGATACAGATGCTTCCTGGACTGTTCAGCACCTGTATATAACCTGTTAGCACCTGTATATAACCTGTCAGCACCTGTATATAACCTGTTAGCACCTGTATATAAACTGTCAGCACCTGTATATAATTTGTTAGCATCTGTATACAACCTGTTAGCACCTGTATATAACCTGTTAGCACCTGTAAATAACCTGTTAGCACCTGTAAATAACCTGTCAGCACCTGTATATAACCTGTCAGCACCTGTACATAACCTGTCAGCACCTGTATATAACCTGTCAGCACCTGTATATAATTTGTTAGCATCTGTATACAACCTGTTAGCACCTGTATATAACCTGTTAGCACCTGTAAATAACCTGTTAGCACCTGTAAATAACCTGTCAGCACCTGTATATAACCTGTCAGCACCTGTACATAACCTGTCAGCACCTGTATATAACCTGTCAGCACCTGTATATAATTTGTTAGCATCTGTATACAACCTGTTAGCACCTGTATATAACCTGTTAGCACCTGTAAATAACCTGTTAGCACCTGTAAATAACCTGTCAGCACCTGTATATAACCTGTCAGCACCTGTATATAACCTGTCAGCACCTGTATATAACCTGTTAGCACCTGTATATAACCTGTCAGCACCTGCATATAACGCACCTGTATATAACCTGTCAGCACCTGTATATAATCTGTTAGCACCTGTATACAACCTGTTAGCACCTGTATATAACATGTTAGCACCTGTATATAACCTGTCAGCACCTGTATATAACCTGTCAGCACCTGTATATAACCTGTCAGCACCTGTACATAACCTGTCAGCACCTGTATATAACCTGTTAGCACCTGTATATAACCTGTCAGCACCTGTATATAACATGTTAGCACCTGTATATAACCTGTCAGCACCTGTATATAACCTGTCAGCACCTGTATATAATTTGTTAGCATCTGTATATAACCTGTCAGCACCTGTATATAACCTGTTAGCACCTGTAAATAACCTGTCAGCACCTGTATATAACCTGTCAGCACCTGTACATAACCTGTCAGCACCTGCATATAACGCACCTGTATATAACCTGTCAGCACCTGTATATAATCTGTTAGCACCTGTATATAACCTGTCAGCACCTGTATATAATTTGTTAGCATCTGTATACAACCTGTTAGCACCTGTATATAACCTGTCAGCACCTGTACATAACCTGTCAGCACCTGTATATAACCTGTCAGCACCTGTATATAATTTGTTAGCATCTGTATACAACCTGTTAGCACCTGTATATAACCTGTCAGCACCTGTACATAACCTGTCAGCACCTGTATATAACCTGTTAGCACCTGTATAGACTCACCGGTCTCAGTACAGGTGAAGAGAGTCTGCTTCTTTCAGGGTCTGAGGAAACATTAGACACAATATGAAACCTAAAGAAGTGCTCAGAGACGAAGATCGACAGAGTATCAGTCGTGTTGATACGATACCATGTTGAAACGTCAAATAAGCGTCTGTTTCGTTCATGGATCTATAATAATAAGCGGATAAGGTATTACCCACCCACGGCCACAGGGGGCGCTGTGGAACTGCAGACGAAACCAGACTAACTTCACGTGGGCTACTCAGAAAAAAGTCCCATAGAACTCAATGTAAATTAAACAGACCTCAGCTGACAGAGAACCTGACAGAGAACCTACAGAGAACCTGACAGAGAACCTGACAGAACCTACAGAGAACCTGACAGAGAACCTGACAGAGAACCTACAGAGAACCTGACAGAACCTACAGAGAACCTGACAGAGAACCTGACAGAACCTACAGAGAACCTGACAGAACCTACAGAGAACCTGACAGAGAACCTACAGAGAACCTGACAGAACCTACAGAGAACCTGACAGAGAACCTGACAGAACCTGACAGAACCTACAGAGAACCTGACAGAACCTACAGAGAACCTGACAGAGAACCTGACAGAGAACCTGACAGAGAACCTACAGAGAACCTGACAGAGAACCTGACAGAACCTACAGAGAACCTGACAGAGAACCTGACAGAGAACCTACAGAGAACCTGACAGAACCTACAGAGAACCTGACAGAGAACCTGACAGAACCTACAGAGAACCTGACAGAGAACCTGACAGAACCTGACAGAACCTACAGAGAACCTGACAGAACCTACAGAGAACCTGACAGAGAACCTGACAGAGAACCTGACAGAGAACCTACAGAGAACCTGACAGAGAACCTGACAGAACCTACAGAGAACCTGACAGAGAACCTGACAGAGAACCTACAGAGAACCTGACAGAACCTACAGAGAACCTGACAGAGAACCTGACAGAACCTACAGAGAACCTGACAGAGAACCTGACAGAACCTGACAGAGAACCTACAGAGAACCTACAGAGAACCTGACAGAGAACCTACAGAGAACCTGACAGAGAACCTGACAGAACCTACAGAGAACCTGACAGAGAACCTGACAGAACCTACAGAGAACCTGACAGAGAACCTGACAGAGAACCTACAGAGAACCTGACAGAGAACCTGACAGAACCTACAGAGAACCTGACAGAGAACCTGACAGAGAACCTACAGAGAACCTGACAGAACCTACAGAGAACCTGACAGAGAACCTGACAGAACCTACAGAGAACCTGACAGAGAACCTGACAGAGAACCTACAGAGAACCTGACAGAACCTACAGAGAACCTGACAGAGAACCTGACAGAACCTACAGAGAACCTGACAGAGAACCTGACAGAACCTGACAGAGAACCTACAGAGAACCTGACAGAACCTACAGAGAACCTGACAGAGAACCTGACAGAACCTACAGAGAACCTGACAGAGAACCTGACAGAACCTACAGAGAACCTGACAGAGAACCTGACAGAGAACCTACAGCTTTCATAAAAACCGGGAGGACCAGACGATGCCCAAATACAGACGAGTTCCTCTAATCTCTCGGTCTCCGTGGAGTCCCATGAACTACTGAGCACAAGCCATTAATTTGAACAGGATGCCATCTTGGATCACCGGGGTTTGGTTTTAAACTGTTTTCTTCCTCCTCCTCCTCCTCCTCCTCCTCCTCCTCACCCGTGTGATGATCTGTCTGCTGTGTGTTGTAGAGATGGATCTGAGATGAGACGGGGTCAGATCCCGACGACAGAATCTACAGAACAACATGAGACCATTTACTTTGTTCATGTTTAAAAATGTGACTAAAGCTGTACAAATCTACAGTGACACAAGTATCAAGGCTTTCAGCTGCTCTCCCCTGAGCGGCCACCAGAGGGAGCAGCAGAGGGTAACAGTTCTCAGCTGCTCTCCCCTGAGCGGCCACCAGAGGGAGCCCCACCTCTCCTTCTGTGCTCTGGGTTTAAGACCACAGAGAAGGTTCTTTAGCACCACAGAGAGGTGAATTTGAATGAGGTCTGAAATGTACTGTATATTGGCTTCATACTTTTAAATCCAAACTATTTTAGTTAAAAGAGTTGTATAATTAACAGTGTGACTTCTACCTCCTCTTCCTCCACCTCCTCCTCCTCTTCATCTTCCAGGAGTTCCACCACCACAGAACGATAGACCCCCACATGTCCTGGATCCTCCTCCCAGAGGCCCTCACCCCCGTGCACACACACTGCACAAAAAGGTTTTATTTATTTTATTAATAACTTTATATCATTAATTACTTGTGTTTAAATGAACTCGAAAATATGTCTTAGGACTAACAATTAAATTAGCATGGGTGGAGCTAAAAACCACTCCAGGTCTGTATTTTTAAACCAGGACCAGTGCGCACCTGGACTGACTGCAGCGGTGTCTGTGGAGGTGGCGCCCTCTGCTGGTAAACACAGGAACTGCACGAAGCGCTCAGGCTCACAGCCCACGTGACCACACGACTCACACATCTGCACAGGAGAGGATTTTAACATCAAATATATGAATGTATGAAAAAAAAACTCATCTGTGAGTTGGTCTCTCGCTGCCTCTGGTCTCTCTCTGGTCTCTCTCTGGTCTCTCTCTGGTCTCTCTCTGGTCTCTCTCTTGTCTCTCTCTTGTCTCTCTCTCTGGTCTCTCTCTCTGGTCTCTCTCTCTGGTCTCTCTCTCTGGTCTCTCTCTCTGGTCTCTCTCTCTGGTCTCTCTCTGGTCTCTCTCTCTGGTCTCTCTCTGGTCTCTCTCTCTGGTCTCTCTCTCTGGTCTCTCTCTGGTCTCTCTCTGGTCTCTCTCTGGTCTCTCTCTCTGGTCTCTCTCTGGTCTCTCTCTCTGGTCTCTCCCTGGTCTCTCCCTGGTCTCTCCCTGGTCTCTCTCTGGTCTCTCTCTGGTCTCTCCCTGGTCTCTCCCTGGTCTCTCCCTGGTCTCTCTCTGGTCTCTCCCTGGTCTCTCTCTGGTCTCTCCCTGGTCTCTCCCTGGTCTCTCCCTGGTCTCTCCCTGGTCTCTCCCTGGTCTCTCCCTGGTCTCTCCCTGGTCTCTCCCTGGTCTCTCCCTGGTCTCTCTCTGGTCTCTCTCTGGTCTCTCTCTGGTCTCTCTCTGGTCTCTCTCTGGTCTCTCTCTGGTCTCTCCCCTGGTCTCTCTCTGGTCTCTCTCTGGTCTCTCTCTGGTCTCTCTCTGGTCTCTCCCTGGTCTCTCTCTGGACTCTCTCTGGTCTCTCTCTGGTCTCTCTCTGGTCTCTCTCTTGTCTCTCTCTGGTCTCTCTCTGGTCTCTCTCTGGTCTCTCCCTGGTCTCTCCCTGGTCTCTCCCTGGTCTCTCTCTGGTCTCTCTCTGGTCTCTCTCTGGTCTCTCCCTGGTCTCTCTCTGGTCTCTCTCTGGTCTCTCTCTGGTCTCTCTCTGGTCTCTCCCTGGTCTCTCTCTGGTCTCTCCCTGGTCTCTCCCTGGTCTCTCCCTGGTCTCTCTCTGGTCTCTCTCTGGTCTCTCTCTGGTCTCTCTCTGGTCTCTCTCTGGTCTCTCTCTGGTCTCTCCCTGGTCTCTCTCTGGTCTCTCTCTGGTCTCTCTCTGGTCTCTCTCTGGTCTCTCTCTGGTCTCTCTCTGGACTCTCTCTGGTCTCTCTCTGGTCTCTCTCTGGTCTCTCTCTTGTCTCTCTCTGGTCTCTCTCTGGTCTCTCTCTGGTCTCTCCCTGGTCTCTCCCTGGTCTCTCCCTGGTCTCTCTCTGGTCTCTCTCTGGTCTCTCTCTGGTCTCTCCCTGGTCTCTCTCTGGTCTCTCTCTGGTCTCTCTCTGGTCTCTCTCTGGTCTCTCCCTGGTCTCTCTCTGGTCTCTCTCTGGTCTCTCCCTGGTCTCTCCCTGGTCTCTCTCTGGTCTCTCTCTGGTCTCTCTTTGGTCTTTCTCTCTGGTCTCTTTTACCTTTAACCAGTCTTCCTCCTCTTCCTCCCCCTCCGTCAGCGACAGTTCTTCTGACTGACAACACAGGTGTAGAGTCAGGTTTATTTGTATGGCACAGTTCATGAAGGGAACAGAGTTACAACACCTCTCAAAGTCTCTCTCCTGAACAGAAAATAAAATGAATAAATACAATAAATGTGGCGCAGAACTAAAAAAGGTCTCGTTATGATTCTCAAATCATTAACGACAAAACAAGGAATAAACCCAGGATTGCTATCTTTGTGAAAAAGGTGTTGGTTATAGATTTGCTGTTGACAAAACTCTTGTCTATTCAGCTGTTATGGTCCCAGCTGGATTCGTCTGCATATCTGGCAACCTGAGGCTGAGTTTACACGGAGACAATGTGGCAGTAAAACGGTATAGTTGGATGTCGGTTGCTACCAACCGTTCATACGAAGACTGTGTTCCAGGTGAAAACGTTAGTGTTCAGATCCAGCCTGCAGAGTGGGACAACTCAGAAACGCTGCACAGCGGGGGCTCTTTCACACCCGCGAGAGGGAAAAGGTGTGAAATCCCCCTCTGCTCTGACCCCCACGTCCGCGCTGCTCCCCGCACGTAAATTTGGACATGCGCAGTAGCGGAGAACAAACATCAACAAAAATGGCGCCGCGCACACTAACTAGCTTCGTGGGCTTCGAGCGCTGCACAGAGGAGAATTCTACTCCTTCGTTCTTCCAAACGAGACCACGCGAAGCTCTAGGTTCAGTTCCCATTTTCACAGCTGCTGTTAAAATGCAGAATGATGTTGGTACTTTCTGAGGGTCTGGCACAGGAAGTGAATATACTGCCGAGAGGGGGGCTGGGCACGGGGCTGGGGGTCGTGTGAGTGTTGTAAAGTTTCTCTGCCCCCTACTGGCCGGGCGCTAGAACTACATCGTTTTTCAACCTCATGTGAACGCTGAGAAATTTGCATTAGGAGCCTGGTCGTTTCTGTTAATAGCCTGGAAACGTCTGCGCAGCGTCTCAGTATAAACACGGCCTGAGTCAGGGAGAGTGGGAGAGGCTGCAGTACCACTTTAATCTTCCTGCGGTGGAAACGTGACTATTGTGTAAGAATCTACTGAGAAACTAACACCTGCTTGTGTCTCATTCACAACTGCTGTAAGAAACATTCTGCACACTTGTTTTATTGCGAATGACTTTTATTCGGGCTGTTAGCTTAAAGCCTAGCGTACATCGGACTGGCAACTGATTATATCCGTCGCATATGAGTTTCTGCCCCACACACATCGACAATCTGACGAAAACGGGCAACTCCCAGTATCAGACCAGTCTCGGGAATAACAGCGCGTACATCGACAGCAACTGGCCTCAACTACAGTGTGTTTTCTGACATAAACTGTGGAGGGCGCAATACACGTAATACACACACGTTGTCGGAGCGGCGCATGGAGCGCGCACATCGGGTCATATCTCCGAAACTGAGGACAACTAGTTGCCGAAAAGTAGAACACGGGCAACTGACTGAAACTGGAGACCGACTGTTTATCTCCAGTTGTAAGAGCGCGCACATCGACCGATTTCAGCAACTGATCATCTCCATCATCTACTCTCAGTCGCCAAAAGCCGCCTTGCAACTAGTTGTCTCCAGTTACTCTGTCGATGTACGCTAGGCTTAAAGCGCTGTTAGCTTAAAGCGCTGTTAGCTTAAAGCACCAAAGTCTGAAAATGTTGTATTGGATCACCAAACAGACCTCTGACATGGCAATAGAGGGGGGTATTTCTTGCCTCAAATGTTATTAGAATCAACTTTTATGTCCTAATTAAAGCGTATTTTAAACTTTTTACTTCCATCATGGCCGCTGTGTCCTTCCTCTCCGCTTCGTTCTGAGTTGAGTTGGGTTTGGTGAACTACCGGCCACTAGCGTTCTGGAGGCGCGTGACGCTCGGTGACAGCGTCTGTCGTTTTTGACGCCCGAAAAGCGTCTGAAGTCTGAACGCGCCATGAGGAGGACGCACACGCTGACAGAGACTGCAGCAGCTGCACTCTGCTCTGTGTCCACTAGGTGGCGCAGCGCTCGGTTCACACTCAGGACACTGACAGAGACTGCAGCAGCTGCACTCTGCTAGAAATAAGTTTTATTTTATAATCTTTTTCCTTCCTTTCCTGCGCACTTCAGAGCTTCACCAGAGCAGTCTTGGCATAAAAATGCGACATGGTGGCTGAGTGGTTAGCACTCTTGTTTCTCATTAAGAAGGTCCTGGGTTCCAATCCCGGTCGAAACGAGGCCTTTCTGAGTGGAGTTTGCATGTTCTCCCCGTGTCTGTGTAGGTTTCCTCTAGGTGCTCCGGTTTCCCCTACCACTGAACACCTGTACAATACTGAATATAATTAGTGAATGGATGGTAATACAGAGCAGAGCACAGAGAAGAGCACAGAGCAGAACACAGAGCAGAGCACAGAGCAGAGCAAAGAGCAGAACACAGAGCAAAGCACAGAGCAGAGCACAGAGCAGAACACAGAGCAGAGCACAGAGCAGAACACAGAGTAGAGCACAGAACACAGAGCAGAGCACAGAGCAGAACACAGAGCAGAGCACAGAGCAGAACACAGAGTAGAGCACAGAACACAGAGCAGAGCACAGAGCAGAGCACAGAGTAGAGCACAGAACACAGAGTAGAACACAGAGCAGAGCACAGAGTAGAGCACAGAACACAGAGTAGAACACAGAGCAGAGCACAGAGCAGAGCACAGAGCAGAGCACAGAGCAGAGCACAGAGCAGAGCACAGAGCAGAGCACAGAACACAGAGTAGAACACAGAGCAGAGCACAGAGTAGAGCACAGAACACAGAGTAGAACACAGAGCAGAACACAGAGCAGAGCACAGAGCAGGTTTGTACCTGTGTGTTCCTGGAGAGGGTCCTCTCGCTGAGGGTCTGTCTCTGCAGCTCCAGCTCAACACAGGCCTCAGTCTCAGAGACGTGGAGAGAGAGGAGCTGAAGACAGGACTCTGCCTTCACCCTGCTCAGCTGATACACACACACACACACACACACACAGAGACACACACACACACACACACACAGACACAGACACACAGACACACACACACACACACACACACACACACACACAGAGATAACCAATGAGCACAGCCCTGTGAGAGAATATAAGAGTCCATGATGGTTCTATCCAAAATGGCCGACCACTCACTGGTACTTGTACCATGGGTACATGAACCATGGGTCCATGCACCATGGGTCCATTCTGGAGGTGTAAGCCCCTACTATCAAACATTCAGGTCTCAGTGTTGGAGAGTGTACCTGTGCTCTCCAGAACAGTGGGTTGTGTACCTGTGCGCTCCAGAACAGTGGGTTGTGTACCTGTGCTCTCCAGAACAGTGGGTTGTGTACCTGTGCTCTCCAGAACAGTGGGTTGTGTACCTGTGCGCTCCAGAACAGTGGGTTGTGTACCTGTGCTCTCCAGAACAGTGGGTTGTGTACCTGTGCTCTCCAGAACAATGGGTTGTGTACCTGTGCTCTCCAGAACAGTGGGTTGTGTACCTGTGCTCTCCAGAACAATGGGTTGTGTACCTGTGCTCTCCGGAGACGGTCCTGCACTTCTGAGATCTTCTGCTCAACAATCAAACATGTTTCACCAGAAAGAAGCTTCAGACGCCTCTGCAGGGACTCCAGGACCTACACACACACACACACACACACACACACACACACACAGACAAACACAGACACACACAGACACACACACAGACACAGACACACACAGACACACACAGACACACACACACACACAGACACACACACACACACAGACACACACACACACAGACAGACACACACAGACAGACACAGACACACAGACACAGACACACAGACACAGACACACACAGACACACACAGACACAGACACAGACACACACACACAGACACACACACTTATCATGGTCATTAATAAAACTGTTTTCAGGGCTGGTCCTTTCTGACTGTTTAATGGTGTGTCACATGAGCCGGACTCTCCCAGACCCTTGTAGGTCTCTTCACAGGGTCTGGGTCTGGGTCTGGGTCCGGGTCTGGGTCTGGGTCAGGGTCTGGGTCCGGGTCTGGGTCTGGGTCTGGGTCTGGGTCATAGTGTATGAATTGAAAAAAAATCCTTGTATGTGATTGGATAAACCACGTGTTCCTTCGACGTGAGCATCGAAGCACACGACTCAGCACACTGCGGTTCAGGGTTGCCAAATGCCGACAAGATTTTCCAGCCCAAAACATGCAAGATTGCCCCCCTGCCCCCCTGCCCCCCCTGCCCCCCTGCCCCCCCTGCCCCCCATGTACATAAGTATTCACAGCCTTGAAGCTCAGACTCTGCTCAGGTCCTGTTTCCACGGATCCTCCATGAGCTGCTTCTACTGCTTCATTTGAGTCTGTGGTAAATTCAGTTGGATGGACTTGATTTGGAAAGGCACACACCTGTATATTTAAGGTCCACAGAAAGGCACACACCTGTATATATAAGGTCCACAGAAAGGCACACACCTGTATATATAAGGTCCACAGAAAGGCACACACCTGTATATATAAGGTCCACAGAAAGGCACACACCTGTATATATAAGGTCCACAGAAAGGCACACACCTGTATATATAAGGTCCACCGAAAGGCACACACCTGTATATATAAGGTCCTACAGAAAGGCACACACCTGTATATATAAGGTCCTACAGAAAGGCACACACCTGTATATATAAGGTCCACAGAAAGGCACACACCTGTATATATAAGGTCCACAGAAAGGCACACACCTGTATATATAAGGTCCACAGAAAGGCACACACCTGTATATATAAGGTCCACAGAAAGGCACACACCTGTATATATAAGGTCCACAGAAAGGCACACACCTGTATATATAAGGTCCTACAGAAAGGCACACACCTGTATATATAAGGTCCCACAGAAAGGCACACACCTGTGTATATATAAGGTCCACAGAAAGGCACACACCTGTATATATAAGGTCCCACAGAAAGGCACACACCTGTGTATATATAAGGTCCACAGAAAGGCACACACCTGTATATATAAGGTCCACAGAAAGGCACACACCTGTATATATAAGGTCCCACAGAAAGGCACACACCTGTATATATAAGGTCCACAGAAAGGCACACACCTGTATATATAAGGTCCCACAGAAAGGCACACACCTGTATATATAAGGTCCACAGAAAGGCACACACCTGTATATATAAGGTCCACAGAAAGGCACACACCTGTATATATAAGGTCCACAGAAAGGCACACACCTGTATATATAAGGTCCCACAGAAAGGCACACACCTGTATATATAAGGTCCACAGAAAGGCACACACCTGTATATATAAGGTCCACAGAAAGGCACACACCTGTATATATAAGGTCCACAGAAAGGCACACACCTGTATATATAAGGTCCCACAGAAAGGCACACACCTGTATATATAAGGTCCCACAGAAAGGCACACACCTGTATATATAAGGTCCTACAGAAAGGCACACACCTGTATATATAAGGTCCACCGAAAGGCACACACCTGTATATATAAGGTCCCACAGAAAGGCACACACCTGTATATATAAGGTCCACAGAAAGGCACACACCTGTATATATAAGGTCCCACAGAAAGGCACACACCTGTATATATAAGGTCCACAGAAAGGCACACACCTGTATATATAAGGTCCACAGAAAGGCACACACCTGTATATATAAGGTCCCACAGAAAGGCACACACCTGTATATATAAGGTCCACAGAAAGGCACACACCTGTATATATAAGGTCCACAGAAAGGCACACACCTGTATATATAAGGTCCACAGAAAGGCACACACCTGTATATATAAGGTCCCACAGAAAGGCACACACCTGTATATATAAGGTCCCACAGAAAGGCACACACCTGTATATATAAGGTCCTACAGAAAGGCACACACCTGTATATATAAGGTCCACCAAAAGGCACACACCTGTATATATAAGGTCCCACAGAAAGGCACACACCTGTATATATAAGGTCCACAGAAAGGCACACACCTGTATATATAAGGTCCCACAGAAAGGCACACACCTGTATATATAAGGTCCACAGAAAGGCACACACCTGTATATATAAGGTCCACAGAAAGGCACACACCTGTATATATAAGGTCCACAGAAAGGCACACACCTGTATATATAAGGTCCACAGAAAGGCACACACCTGTATATATAAGGTCCACAGAAAGGCACACACCTGTATATATAAGGTCCACAGAAAGGCACACACCTGTATATATAAGGTCCACAGAAAGGCACACACCTGTATATATAAGGTCCACCGAAAGGCACACACCTGTATATATAAGGTCCCACAGAAAGGCACACACCTGTATATATAAGGTCCACAGAAAGGCACACACCTGTATATATAAGGTCCACAGAAAGGCACACACCTGTATGTATAAGGTCCACAGAAAGGCACACACCTGTATATATAAGGTCCACCGAAAGGCACACACCTGTATATATAAGGTCCACAGAAAGGCACACACCTGTATATATAAGGTCCACCGAAAGGCACACACCTGTATATATAAGGTCCCACAGAAAGGCACACACCTGTATATATAAGGTCCACAGAAAGGCACACACCTGTATATATAAGGTCCCACAGAAAGGCACACACCTGTATATATAAGGTCCACAGAAAGGCACACACCTGTATATATAAGGTCCACAGAAAGGCACACACCTGTATATATAAGGTCCACAGAAAGGCACACACCTGTATATATAAGGTCCCACAGAAAGGCACACACCTGTATATATAAGGTCCACAGAAAGGCACACACCTGTATATATAAGGTCCACAGAAAGGCACACACCTGTATATATATAGGTCCACAGAAAGGCACACACCTGTATATATAAGGTCCACAGAAAGGCACACACCTGTATATATAAGGTCCACCGAAAGGCACACACCTGTATATATAAGGTCCCACAGAAAGGCACACACCTGTATATATAAGGTCCACAGAAAGGCACACACCTGTATATATAAGGTCCACAGAAAGGCACACACATGTATATATAAGGTCCACAGAAAGGCACACACCTGTATATATAAGGTCCCACAGAAAGGCACACACCTGTATATATAAGGTCCCACAGAAAGGCACACACCTGTATATATAAGGTCCACAGAAAGGCACACACCTGTATATATAAGGTCCACAGAAAGGCACACACCTGTATATATAAGGTCCACAGAAAGGCACACACCTGTATATATAAGGTCCCACAGAAAGGCACACACCTGTATATATAAGGTCCACAGAAAGGCACACACCTGTGTATATATAAGGTCCACAGAAAGGCACACACCTGTATATATAAGGTCCACAGAAAGGCACACACCTGTATATATAATGGCGCTTTTCCACAGCACCGGCACTACACCACTCTACACGACACGTCACGACCCGGTCGAGTACGCGTGCTTTTCCACATATCTCCATCGGACATCTTCAAGTGGGTGGGCTTTTCATACCACCGCTACCGTTACGTCATTTCCGCGCGACTCACGAGCATGAAACCAGGAAAAACATTACATCCTCAAACAATGGAGGACTCCGAGACGATCGTGGTGTTGCTGCTCTCTCTGTGGCTACTAGTCACAAATAGACTGAAAAGCCTGAGAAGAATCCAGGCGGCGAGACACCAAAGAATGACGAAGTTATTGAAAACCTTGCAGGAGTTTGCAGTTGAGGACAGGAGACAACGAGCTGAAAAAAGACGACGTTTGTGGGTAAGCTAATATTGCTATCGCTAGCTTTGTAACAGCCGTCCTGAACAAAATGGCTGCTGGCTGTCTCTGTAAATCATTAAAATGTGTATGCTGTATGTGTGTGTTTCAGATGCTTCTCGGGTTGCGTCGCCGCCGCAAGCCATCGGTGTGGGCCTTAAACCGAGCCTCCGAGTGGTGGGATATTGTAGTCCCAAGCTTCAGCAACACGCAGTGGGTGCAGAATTTCCGAATGTCCAAAGAAACATTTGATCACCTCTGCACAAAGCTGCGCTTGATTATGGAGCGACAAGACACTACTTACCGGGTATGTGTGCCCCTAAAGAAGACAGTGGCTATCGCACTCTGGAAACTTGCTACTGGCTCTGAGTACCGAAGCATTGGTCACCTTTTTGGAGTCAGTATAACAACGGTGTGCCGGTGTGTGCAGGACTTTTGTGCTGCAGCAAATGCGGTGTTGGTCCCAGCGCAGATCCGTTGTCCTACTGAGGAGAAATTCAGGGAGATTGCTGCCTACAACGAGAACAGATGGGGGGTCCCACACTGTGTTGGTGCCATTGATGGATCCCACATCCCTATCATGGCTCCACAGGAATGTCATTGTGACTATTTCAACCGCAAAGGGTGGCATTCCATTATTCTCCAAGGTGTGGTTGATGGAAAGGGGTTGTTTTGGAACGTGTTTGCCGGATTGCCTGGGAGCTTGCATGATGCCAGGGTCTTGAGACTCTCTAACTTGTGGGAGTTAGCCTGCCAGGGAAGCCTCTTCCCAGCTCACACAAGAGAAATTGGTGGGGTGACTGCTGGCTATTACCTCCTAGGGGACTCCGCCTACCCCCTGCGGAACTGGCTCCTAAAACCTTTTCAGGACACCGGACGACTGACAGACGAACAGCAACTATTCAACAGAAAATTCAGCAGAGGGCGGGTGGTTGTTGAAAATGCTTTCGGCAGGCTTAAAGGAAGATGGCGCTGTCTTCTGAAAAGGAATGACTCTGACACTGAACTGGTAAAGTCTATGGTGCTGGCTTGTTGTGCTCTGCACAATCTGTGCGAAAACCATGGAGAGACCTACGTGACAGAATGGGACACACCTGTAGCAACAGTTCAGCCTGTGGTAGCAGTGGCACAGGGTGCAGATGAGGGGGGCAGTGATGTTAGGGAGGGTCTGATGCGTCACTTTCTGTCCAATGTCTGAACATTTTGCCTGTTTTGGAACAAGAAATAAACCTTTTTGTATTCAGCAAAAATGCCTTTTATTCATATTTAACTCCTGGGAAAGTACAGGTATTACTCATATAGGTCACATTACAGTCACCACTCACAGAACAGTCGCAGGAATATGCCATCTGCTGCAGATGCTTCCTGGAATACTCACAATGAAGAGCAATAATCCTAAATAAAATCAATATCCAAACAGTTAACCTGGGCCCATTTAAACGCAGAGCTTCTAAAGTTCACTCCCAAAAACAAACTCTATTATGCAAATGACTTACAGGAATTGACACTACCCAACACGATGTCAAGACTTTGCATTTTCTCCAGATGCCAATTTCTGGACCCAAATCCGCAACATTTACTTTATGGCCAAAAATTCAAACTCAAACATACAACTCAAAGTCCTCCATAGATACCACTACAGAGACCGCTAACTTTTAAAAATGGGTTTCAGCACTTGCTCGCATTGCACAAAAATTAATTAGCAATATTGAGAAACTCAAGAGGGCAAGTGGAGAGGTCCAACGCACCACTAGAACAGGACACAATGTATCGCAAGTATTGACAATCATAATGGATTCATTTTTTGTGCTGTTACTTGTTTTGTCATTGTAACCTTTTGGTGGGATATGCATGTATGTGTTCATGTATATGCAGAGAGCCAATATTGCATATTAATGAAATATTAATTCATACATTTTCAATCATACACCCATTAACCATTCCCACCATTACAAATACCTTTATTCCCTTCCAGATTTGGATCAGCCACTCGCACGTGCACACACAAACTCTTTATCGTGCCTTTCTTACCCACTTCCCTAGCTTATTGTATTGTAACCAACACTGTACATTATCAGTAGTCTGTATTGTTCCCTGTAGGCTCCTCACTCCATGACTGGGAATAAATAAACCTTCTATTCCTAAATTTACCACAATTAAGGATTTACTAACAACAAATAATGTGAAACCTTTGGTTTGCATGTTAACTGTGATGTGTACCGAGAAATGAAACCTGTCTTGGAAAAAATCACACATTTATTTAAAAAAAAACAATTTTAAAGTGCACCAATAAAATTATTTACAAAGTGTCTTGGTGAAGAGTGTCAGTTTCGGCGGCCACTCATGGCTTCCACCAGCTGGCCCAGGAGACCAAGAAATGATTGGTTAAATGCAGCCGCCTGTGCATTTTCCTCCCTCCTCAATGTCGCTTCCAACTCTTGCGACTCTCTGACGAGCTGGAGTTGCTGTGTCCGGTTCAGCTCCTGCTGCACCACATCTTCAGCTTGGATCTGCCTCATCATTTCTACTGTCTCCGTCTGGAAGAGCGCCCTTTTTCTCTTCCCTGTACAACAATAAAAAAAGTATTAACAGTTGGTAATTATCCAAAGCAGTGACATTTCTGGAGACATACTTTTATGTAGGCAAAAAGATTATTACGTTTCAGAACAGTATATATCACACTACCCGAGATTTTGCAACAACTACCCTTTCAAAGAGGAAAAACCTCCACTAAAAGAAAGTGTTACGTGTGGGATCATTTGACTTAATTGCAAATCGGGTAATGTTTGTTTCACGCTTTGTCAATAAACAATATTTAATGGTCAATGTTTAGGCATTTTAGGACAAAGCATGAGCATGACTTAAATACACCCAGATTAATCAAATCAGTCAGTGCAGCTAAAATTACATTTCGCTGACTTTCTTTTTCATACCACAGTGAAGTGGTATTGTATCACAAATTAGATTTTTTATTTGGAAAAAGATCACTGACAGGTGGTCCGATTCCTTTTTTATTGACATTCTCTAAAGCTAGGGTGATAGTGTCCAAAATACGCATTAATTGGACATACTTCACCGAGTTGAATGCTATTACTTCTGAGATCCACCAGGTGTCGGTATAGAGCTGCACTGTTGCGGCACAGTATCAATGTAGTTGTATTATTTTTTTTTGCTGCTATAGGACATGAATTTCTCCCAGGGTGATGAATAAAATATCTATCGATCATGTATTATGTCTGCCCTGCGCCTTACCCGTGACCACACGCTGTGCGCTGCTAGACGTGTCGCTCGCCATCGAAGGGAACGCATCTCCAGGCGTCAAAGCTGCAGCTGGTTCTGGAGGGATTGGGGACGGGGACCTTGGGGGGTCGTTCGACGCTTCACTTGCGACAAGGGATTCTACAATAAGACAAACACACACAACGACTTAAGTAAAAGCACAAAACTGAATGGCAACACGTGAAATGGCAAGATGTAGCACGTGTTAGCAGCTTGCTATCGATAGCTTAAAGTAGCTAGCTCACTTTGTACAGCAGACAACAATCAAACGTTTACATGAATAAATACATTCCAGTGGGCATTGAGCCACAGGTTACGTGATAATGCATTTTCACAATAACTACAGATAAAAGTTACAAAGCACTTACCATTATCGCCCATTCTCGACGTGGTAGAAGAGTCCAGAGCACACTCCCGTCCATTGTTTGCAGGCCTGTGGCCATAAATGGCATCCATCTCGGCATACCACCTCCAGGTCTTCCGATTGACCCCACTTCGGCCGTTGTGGTCCTTTATGGCCCGGTAATCGCACTTCATCTTTTTAATCTTGTCCCTGCACTGCTGATGCGTACGGTGGTAACCGTGTGTGAGCAAGAGCTGGGCGATCTCTTTATAGACCTTCTCATTTCGCGTACTGCCATCGAGCTCCTTCTGTATTCTGTCTTCGGACAGTAAAGACAGAAATGTTTGGACCTCATCAACAGACCACGGTGTGGACTTTTGCGGCTTGCTGGATTCCATTTCTCGAGTGCAGTGCGTATGCTCACAGGGCAGTTTTAAAAATGGCGGGGTTGAATCTTGTCTCTCAATACGGTCAGACGTCGCACTTATGACGCTACCAGTGACGACAGTCGTTGGCCAATAGTGTGAGAGAGCCGTTGGCCAATAGCGTAGGCAGTCCGCTTACGTCACGAGAGTGTAGCTTTTTGGAACCGCTCCCGAGGCGGTCCGAAAATAGAACACAATACCTAGCTTCAACGCTAGTGGATATGCAAAAGTAACGCGCCGTGTCGTGTAGAGTGGTGTAGTGCCGGTGCTGTGGAAAAGCGCTATTAGGTCCACAGAAAGGCACACACCTGTATATATAAGGTCCACAGAAAGGCACACACCTGTATATATAAGGTCCTGTATGGTGGAGTTGCCAGACGCAAGCCGCTCCTTAGTTTGGAGTTTGCCAAAAGGCACCTGAAGGACTCTCAGGCCATGAGTTAAAACATTCTCTGGTCTGATGAGACAAAGATTGAAGTCTCATGTTTGGAGGAAACCAGGCACTGCTCATCACCGAGCCAATACCATCCCTACAGTGAAGCATGGGGGTGGTAGCATCATGCTGTGGGGATAATACCATCCCTACAGTGAAGCATGGGGGTGGTAGCATCATGCTGTGGGGATGTTTTTCAGCGGCAGGAACTGGGAGACTAGTCAAGATAGAGGGAAAGATGAATGCAGCAATGTACAGAGACATCCTGAATGAAAACCTGCTCCAGAGCTCCTGACCTCAGACTGAGGCGACGGTTCCTCTTTCAGCAGGACAACGACCCTAAGCACAGCCACGATAACGAAGAAGATCTTCAGGACAACTCTGTGAATGTCCTTGAGTGGCCCGGAGCTCAGACTTGAATCCAATCTAACATCTCTGGAAAGATCTGAAAATGGCTGTGCACCGACACTCCCCATCCAACTTGATGGAGCTTGAGAAATGCTGCAAAGAGGAATGGGCCAAAACTGCCCAAAGACAGGTGTGCCAAGGTGTGGCATCAGAGTCAAAAAGACTTGAGGCTGTAATTGCTCCAAAAGGTGCATCAACAAAGTATTAAGCAGAGGCTGTGAATACTTTTGTACATTTGGTTTCTTAGTTTTTTATTTTTAATACATTTGCAAGAATCTCAACAACAACAAAACTGAATCGATTTTGGAATAAGGCTGTAACAAACAAAATGTGGAAAAAGTGACGCGCTGTAAATACTTTCCGGATCCACTGTATGTGTCTGTTATGATGTGTCTGTTATAATGTGTCTGTTATAATGTGTCTGTTATAATGTATAATGTGTAAACACTGGTGCCCTCTGAGCCCTTCATAGTGTCCTCTGAGCCCTTCATGGTGTCCTCTGAGCCCTTCATAGTGTCCTCTGAGCCCTTCATAGTGTCCTCTGAGCCCTTCATGGTGTCCTCTGAGCCCTTCATGGTTTCCTCTGAGCCCTTCATGGTTTCCTCTGAGCCCTTCATGGTGTCTTCTGAGCCCTTCATGGTGTCCTCTGAGCCCTTCATAGTGTCCTCTGAGCCCTTCACGGTGTCCTCTGAGCCCTTCACGGTGTCCTCTGAGCCCTTCACGGTGTCCTCTGAGCCCTTCATGATGTCCTCTGAGCCCTTCATGATGTCCTCTGAGCCCTTCATGGTTTCCTCTGAGCCCTTCATGGTGTCCTCTGAGCCCTTCATGGTTTCCTCTGAGCCCTTCATGGTTTCCTCTGAGCCCTTCATGATGTCCTCTGAGCCCTTCATGGTTTCCTCTGAGCCCTTCATGGTTTCCTCTGAGCCCTTCATGGTTTCCTCTGAGCCCTTCATGGTTTCCTCTGAGCCCTTCATGGTTTCCTCTGAGCCCTTCATGGTTTCCTCTGAGCCCTTCATGGTGTCCTCTGAGCCCTTCATGGTTTCCTCTGAGCCCTTCATGGTGTCCTCTGAGCCCTTCATGGTTTCCTCTGAGCCCTTCATGGTTTCCTCTGAGCCCTTCATGGTTTCCTCTGAGCCCTTCATAGTGTCCTCTGAGCCCTTCATAGTTTCCTCTGAGCCCTTCATGGTTTCCTCTGAGCCCTTCATGGTGTCCTCTGAGCCCTTCATAGTGTCCTCTGAGCCCTTCATGGTTTCCAGGACCTTTGGTGGATCACCTTTGGGTCTAGACCTATTTGAAACTGAAATCCACATCTTTGTCTCACTTGGTTTGAGGCACGTTTACATCAGACTGAATCTGAGGCGTTTAAAGTCCTGTAAAACACCATGGGTTCGAATCCCACACTCACCGTCTCCTCGTGTGTGATCAGCTCTGAGGCTTTAGCCGCTTTAGACGCACAACTCCTCATCTCTGTCTGCAGGCAACTCTGACCCACATCCTGGAGGACACACACCTGCAGAAGACACACACATGTCAGAGGACACACACATGTCAATGGACACACACATGTAGATGACACACACATGTAGAGTACACACACATGTCAGAAGACACACACATGTAGAGGACACATGTCAGAAGTCACACACATGTAGAGGACACACACATGTAGAAGACACACACATGTAGAAGACACACACATGTCAGAGGACACATGTCAAACGACACACACATGTCAGAGGACACACACATGTAGAAGACACACACATGTCAGAGGACACACACATGTCAGAGGACACACACATGTCAGAGGACACACACATGTAGAAGACACACACATGTCAGAGGACACACACATGTCAGAGGACACACACATGTAGAAGACACACACATGTCAGAGGACACATGTCAGAGGACACACACATGTAGAAGACACACACATGTCAGAGGACACATGTCAGAGGACACACACATGTAGAGGACACACACATGAGGAGGACACACACATGTAGAGGACACACACATGTCAGAGAACACACACATGTAGAGGACACACACATGTAGAGGACACACACATGTCAGAGGACACACACATGTCAGAGGACACACACATGTCAGAGGACACACACATGTCAGAGGACACACACATGTAAGAGGACACACACATGTAGAGGACAGACACATGTAGAGGACAGACACATGTAGAGGACACAAACATGTAGAAGACACACACATGTAGAGGACACACACATGTAGAAGACACACACATGTAGAGGACACACACATGCAGAGGACACACACATGCAGAGGACACACACATGTAGAGGACACACACATGTAGAGGACACACACATGTAGAGTACACACACATGGTCGGCGGACACAACATGTAGAGTACACACACATGGTCGGCGGACACACACATGTAGAGGACACACACATGGTCGGCGGACACACACATGTAGAGGAGACACACATGGTCAGCGGACACACACATGTCAGAGGACACACACATGTAGAAGACACACACATGTCAGAGGACACACACATGTCAGAGGACACACACATGTCAGAGGACACACACATGTAGAAGACACACACATGTCAGAGGACACACACATGTCAGAGGACACACACATGTAGAAGACACACACATGTCAGAGGACACATGTCAGAGGACACACACATGTAGAAGACACACACATGTCAGAGGACACATGTCAGAGGACACACACATGTAGAGGACACACACATGAGGAGGACACACACATGTAGAGGACACACACATGTCAGAGAACACACACATGTAGAGGACACACATATGTAGAGGACACACACATGTCAGAGGACACACACATGTCAGAGGACACACACATGTCAGAGGACACACACATGTCAGAGGACACACACATGTAAGAGGACACACACATGGTCGGCGGACACACACATGTAGAGGACACACACATGGTCGGCGGACACACACATGTAGAGGACACACACATGGTCGGCGGACACACACATGTAGAGGACACACACATGTAGCGGACACACACATGTAGAGGACACACACATGTAGCGGACACACACATGTAGAGGACACACACATGTAGCGGACACACACATGTAGCGGACACACACATGTAGAGGACACACACATGTAGAGGACACACACATGTAGAGGACACACACATGTAGCGGACACACACATGTAGAGGACACACACATGGTCGGCGGACACACACATGGTCGGCGGACACACACATGTAGAGGACACACACATGCAGAGGACACACACATGCAGAGGACACACACATGTAGAGGACACACACATGTAGAGGACACACACATGTAGAGTACACACACATGGTCGGCGGACACACACATGTAGAGGACACACACATGGTCGGCGGACACACACATGTAGAGGAGACACACATGGTCAGCGGACACACACATGTAGAGGACACACACATGGTCGGCGGACACACACATGTAGAGGACACACACATGGTCGGCGGACACACACATGTAGAGGACACACACATGTGGCGGACACACACATGTAGAGGACACACACATGTAGAGGACACACACATGTAGAGGACACACACATGTAGCGGACACACACATGTAGAGGACACACACATGGTCGGCGGACACACACATGGTCGGCGGACACACACATGTAAAGGACACACACATGGTCGGCGGACACACACATGTAGAGGACACACACATGTAGCGGACACACACATGTAGAGGACACACACATGTAGAGGACACACACATGTAGAGGACACACACATGTAGCGGACACACACATGTAGCGGACACACACATGTAGAGGACACACACATGTAGAGGACACACACATGTAGCGGACACACACATGTAGAGGACACACACATGTAGAGGACACACACATGTAGCGGACACACACATGTAGAGGACACACACATGTAGAGGACACACACATGTAGAGGACACACACCTGGTCGTGGTCCTCCGGCTGGAATCTGACCTCAGGGAACGCACGGAAAGAAGGCGACTCCTGAAGAAACCGCTGCACGCTTCGCTCTCGGGTCACCTGCTCCGACAGGAAGTGAACACGTGAAAACACACACACCCCTGAGAACACACACCTGGGGCACACCTGGTGCACACCTGGTGCAGGGAGTGGCAGATGCGGCTGTGCTCTCGGTGGGTGGATCCACAGACGTCCATCTCGGTCTCACACAGGAGCCTGAAGTGAGCCCTGAGCTCCTCGTACAGACTGCTGTCCATCTGCTACACACACACACACACACACACAACTGTGGGGCTGCAGACGCACAACTGTGGGACTGCAGACGCACAACTGTGGGACTGCGGACGCACAACTGTGGGGCTGCGGACGCACAACTGTGGGGCTGCGGACGCACAACTGTGGGACTGCGGACGCACAACTGTGGGGCTGCGGACGCACAACTGTGGGACTGCGGACGCACAACTGTGGGACTGCGGACACACAACTGTGAGGCTGCGGACGCACAACTGTGGGACTACGGACACACAGCTGTGGGACTGCGGACGCACAACTGTGGGGCTGCGGACGCACAAATGTGAGGCTGCGGACGCACAACTGTGAGGCTGCTGACGCACAACAGTGAGGCTACGGATGCACAACTGTGAGGCTGCGGACGCATAACTGTGGGACTGCGGACGCACAACTGTGGGACTGCGGACGCACAACTGTGAGGATGCGGACGCACAACTGTGAGGCTGCGGACGCACAACTGTGGGACTGCGGACGCACAACTGTGGGACTGCGGACGCACAACTCTGTGAGGCTGCGGACTGCGGACGCACAACTGTGAGGCTGCGGACGCACAACTGTGAGACTGCGGACGCACAACTGTGGGACTCGGACGCACAACTGTGAGACTGCGGACGCACAATTGTGGGACTCGGACGCACAACTGTGAGACTGCGGACGCACAATTGTGGGACTCGGACGCACAACTGTGAGACTGCGGACGCACAGCTGTGGGACTGCGGACGCACAGCTGTGGGACTGCGGACGCACAACTGTGGGGCTGCGGACGCACAAATGTGAGGCTGTGGATGCACAACTGTGAGGCTGCTGACGCACAACAGTGAGGCTACGGACGCACAACTATGAGGCTGCGGACGCACAACTGTGGGACTGCGGACGCACAACTGTGGGACTGCGGACGCACAACTGTGAGGCTGCGGACGCACAACTGTGAGGCTGCGGACGCACAACTGTGAGGCTGCGGACGCACAACTGTGAGGCTGCGGACGCACAACTGTGGGACTGCGGACGCACAACTGTGAGGCTGCGGACGCACAACTGTGAGGCTGCCGACTGCGGACGCACAACTGTGAGGCTGCGGACTGCGGACGCACAACTGTGAGGATGCGGACGCACAACTGTGAGACTGCGGACGCCCAACTGTGAGGCTGCGGACGCACAACTGTGAGACTGCGGACGCACAACTGTGAGACTGCGGACGCACAACTGTGAGACTGCGGACGCACAATTGTGGGACTCGGACGCACAACTGTGAGACTGCGGACGCACAACTGTGAGACTGTGGACGCACAACTGTGGGGCCCTACCTTTGTGTGCACTCTCCAATCCATACAGTACATTTTCTGTTCAACCTTTCTCTCTCTTCAATCTAAACTGAGTCACGGTTGTTTTCTGTGGATTCTCATTGGAACAGCGCCCCCTACCTGTGCTCCTGACTTACTAACTAATAATGCTCTAGTGGTGAACCAAGACTACCAGCACAGCAGTTATAGTAATCTATACAACAGCAGCTCAGTTTATTCTAAAGTCTGCAGTTCGAGTCCGGACTAGAACCAGGAAGTATCAGCACAGGTCTCTGTGGCCCAGGACCAGTGGGGGCGGGTCCCAGCTCAAAAGTGGCCAAATTGACGTGCGCTGACATGCTGCAATACCACCCCGGGCCTGTGGGGGTGGACCCAGAAGAAGAATTAGCCAATGCTAACATATAGCATTGGCAGACCTCTCAAAAACGTCTTTACAGGATGGACCAAAAGTTGTCTCTTGGCCCAAAGCTCCGTTCCACATGTGTGTCAATGCTGAGGGGGGTGTTCTGGTCCACTCTAGTTTAGTCGCAGTGGATTTTTGAAGTCTCTCGTTAAAAATGAATGGAGCTGCGCCGGCTGACGCATGCGCAGATGCGTTTTTTCACAGTTTTCTTGTGGGCGGGACCCAGGCCCCGGCGATCCAAGATGGCGCCCTATTCAAATGAATGGTTGTGCTCAGTGGCGCTTTGTGACTGCATGGGGGCTGAAAGATTAGCGGAAGTCGCCTGAAACTCGCAAAGATCTATGGGAAACTCGCCTGTATTTGGGCATCGTCTGGTCCTCCCGGTTCTGCGCAGTGGATGATCTCCCATAATGCTTTGCACCAAACACGCGTGTGTGGGTCTCACACCGGGTCTCACGCACGTGCACACCGGGTCTCACGCACGTGCACAGAGGGGCTCGGCCGCGCTCTGACCAATCAGAGCAGTTCATCAGAGCGGGAGTTAGAGCGAGAGCCAGAGGAGCAGAGTTTGTGGCACTAAAGTGTGGATTTAAACAAAACCGAAGGATTTAAGAAGAAAAAAAGTTCAGGATGACAAGGGACACTAAAATCCCCACAAAATCCGACCTTTATTAAAGCTGTAGGTTCTCTGTCAGGTTCTCTGTCAGCTGAGGTTGAGCTGTTTTAATATGCATTGAGTTCTATGGGGAAAGTTTCTGGGTAGCCCACGTGAATTTAGTCTGGTTCAGTCTGGTTCAGTCTGCAGTACCGCGAGAATCCCCTGAGCACATGAGTTATTCAGCTACAAGCTGTAACACCCTATCCAGTTATTATAATAGATCCATGGTAATACCCTATCCAGTTATTATAATAGATCCATGGCGGGACCACTCGTGGCCATTTTGGATTGCTCCAGGAGAGCACTATTTTTGGCCCATTAGTTTGAACGGCGGAGATAGGCGTGACTCTGTCTGTTAATATATACAGTCTATGGTTAGGACACACTTTTTGAGTAGTGTGTCCTAGTAGTAGACTTTGAGGAGTTTGTATCTCACTCTTTTTATTGTACTGTGATCATGTATTATAATAATTATAATTATTATAATCTTATGTCGATCTTATACATTTGTTCTGGGAGAGAAGTCTACAGAGAACTGTGTATATGTGTGTGTGTGTGTGTGTGTGTGTGTGTGTGTGTCTGTGTGTGTGTGCGTGTGTGTCTTTGTGTGTGTGTGTGTGTGCGTGTGTGTCTCTGTGTGTGTGTGTGTGTGTGTGCGTGTGTGTCTCTGTTTGTTTGTGTGTCTCTGTGTGTGTTACCTCCAGGATGTCAGGCAGGTCATGGCTGTAGTAATGCTGCTGATGAGCCTGAAGAGCCGTGAGCTGCAGCAGGTATTCGTTCCGAGCGGCTGTGAGGCGGTCGTCACAGTCCTTCACCTGCAGCACTTCACTTTCATCAAACTCAAACAGGACATTTTTTAAACTGAGAATACCTTAGAGTTTGTGTGGGATCTGAACTGTAGAATACCTTAGAGTTTGTGTGGGATCTGAACTGAAAGAATACCTTAGAGTTTGTGTGGGATCTGAACTGAAAGAATACCTTAGAGTTTGTGTGGGATCTGAACTGTAGAATACCTTAAAGTTTGTGTGGGATCTGAACTGAAAGAATACCTTAGAGTTTGTGTGGGATCTGAACTGAAAGAATACCTTAGAGTTTGTGTGGGATCTGAACTGAAAGAATACCTTAGAGTTTGTGTGGGATCTGAACTGTAGAATACCTTAAAGTTTGTGTGGGATCTGAACTGAAAGAATACCTTAGAGTTTGTGTGGGATCTGAACTGAAAGAATACCTTAGGGTTTGTGTGGGATCTGAACTGAAAGAATACCTTAGGGTTTGTGTGGGATCTGAACTGAAAGAATACCTTAGGGTTTGTGTGGGATCTGAACTGAAAGAATACCTTAGAGTTTGTGTGGGATCTGAACTGAAAGAATACCTTAGAGTTTGTGTGGGATCTGAACTGAAAGAATACCTTAGAGTTTGTGTGGGATCTGAACTGAAAGAATACCTTAGAGTTTTTGTGTGGGATCTGAACTGAAAGAATACCTTAGAGTTTGTGTGGGATCTGAACTGAAAGAATACCTTAGAGTTTGTGTGGGATCTGAACTGAAAGAATACCTTAGAGTTTGTGTGGGATCTGAACTGTAGAATACCTTAAAGTTTGTGTGGGATCTGAACTGAAAGAATACCTTAGAGTTTGTGTGGGATCTGAACTGAAAGAATACCTTAGAGTTTGTGTGGGATCTGAACTGAAAGAATACCTTAGGGTTTGTGTGGGATCTGAACTGAAAGAATACCTTAGGGTTTGTGTGGGATCTGAACTGAAAGAATACCTTAGAGTTTGTGTGGGATCTGAACTGAAAGAATACCTTAGAGTTTGTGTGGGATCTGAACTGAAAGAATACCTTAGAGTTTGTGTGGGATCTGAACTGAAAGAATACCTTAGAGTTTGTGTGGGATCTGAACTGAAAGAATACCTTAGAGAGTTTGTGTGGGATCTGAACTGAAAGAATACCTTAGAGTTTGTGTGGGATCTGAACTGAAAGAATACCTTAGAGTTTGTGTGGGATCTGAACTGAAAGAATACCTTAGAGTTGAACTGAAGAATACTTAGTTTGTGTGGGATCTGAACTGAAAGAATACCTTAGGGTTTGTGTGGGATCTGAACTGAAAGAATACCTTAGGGTTTGTGTGGGATCTGAACTGAAAGAATACCTTAGGTTTGTGTGGGATCTGAACTGAAAGAATACCTTAGAGTTTGTGTGGGATCTGAACTGAAAGAATACCTTAGAGTTTGTGTGGGATCTGAACTGAAAGAATACCTTAGAGTTTGTGTGGGATCTGAACTGAAAGAATACCTTAGAGTTTGTGTGGGATCTGAACTGAAAGAATACCTTAGAGTTTGTGTGGGATCTGAACTGAAAGAATACCTTAGAGTTTGTGTGGGATCTGAACTGAAAGAATACCTTAGAGTTTGTGTGGGATCTGAACTGTAGAATACCTTAAAGTTTGTGTGGGATCTGAACTGAAAGAATACCTTAGAGTTTGTGTGGGATCTGAACTGAAAGAATACCTTAGAGTTTGTGTGGGATCTGAACTGAAAGAATACCTTAGGGTTTGTGTGGGATCTGAACTGAAAGAATACCTTAGGGTTTGTGTGGGATCTGAACTGAAAGAATACCTTAGAGTTTGTGTGGGATCTGAACTGAAAGAATACCTTAGAGTTTGTGTGGGATCTGAACTGAAAGAATACCTTAGAGTTTGTGTGGGATCTGAACTGAAAGAATACCTTAGAGTTTGTGTGGGATCTGAACTGAAAGAATACCTTAAGGGGCGTTCACACCGGACTTAACTTCGGCGTCAAAAGCGTCAGGTTTCCATTGAAAGTGAATGGTGAAGCGCGTCAGGTGAAGCCGAGAGCCCCGGCGTCACTTGACGCGCGTCAAAAGCTTCAAGAGTCGCGCGTACTACGCGCTCACTTGAAGCTTTTGACGCGCGAAACGCTCGCGTATCACAACAATCCCTCTGACGCCGAAGCTGAGCAAAGCTGAGCTTTTGAAGCTTTGACGCGGGCTTCAACCAATCAGGAGACGAGGAGCAGCAGCAGCAGAGGGTCTGTCTCTGTCATGAAGAGAAGTCATGCTGCTGCTGTTTTATTGTCATTATTGTTATTAGTAATATTATTTGTATGAGTAGTAACGTTCTGAGTAACAAAATCATTGTACACATGCTGTGTAGTAAACGTAGTTTATTTAAAATAAGAACAGGCTGACGATGAGTCTGGCTCAGAGCAAGGCAGCTCCGGGCGGGCGAGAGCCGGGGAGAGGCAGGGAGAGGCGAGCGAGAACCGAGGAGAGGCAGGGAGAGGCAGGGAGAGGCAGGGAGAGGCGAGAGCCGGGGTTTGAGAACTCAGACTGGGCAAGTGACATGCGGAAGTACCGCTGAAAGCGAAACTCCTCCGTACGCAGCTCCTGGAGTAAATGACGGAACTCTGCAAACACTGCAGCCTCTCAAGTCTGTGGTGAACCCAGAACATGTTTTGTTGAAGCCCTACAACAACGTTATTTTGCTTTATATAACAAATAAAGGCTCGCTGCTCATTGAAAAATCCACCGCTGTCCTGACTACAGGCAACAGAGAAGCTCCTCCCACCGGCGTCAGGCGCGTCACTCGCGTCAAAAGCTTCAAGCACCAAAATGACAAAACTATCCCGGCGTCAGTTGAAGCGCGTCAAAAGCTTTTTGAAGCTTTTGGTCTGAACGCGCCTTTAGAGTTTGTGTGGGATCTGAACTGAAAGAATACCTTAGAGTTTGTGTGGGATCTGAACTGAAAGAATACCTTAGAGTTTGTGTGGGATCTGAACTGAAAGAATACCTTAGAGTTTGTGTGGGATCTGAACTGAAAGAATACCTTAGAGTTTGTGTGGGATCTGAACTGAAAGAATACCTTAGAGTTTGTGTGGGATCTGAACTGAAAGAATACCTTAGAGTTTGTGTGGGATCTGAACTGAAAGAATACCTTAGAGTTTGTGTGGGATCTGAACTGAAAGAATACCTTAGAGTTTGTGTGGGATCTGAACTGAAAGAAGCCGTGGTCGCTCCTTCTGGCTCTGCAAGAAAAGATTCCAACACTAAGTACGAAGACACTTGTTTTAAAGCTGAGGTACCTAACTTCTCCCACTGTGTCTTCCAGTGTGATAACAGCTTGAACCGTTGCACATGGTGTCATTACAACCACATGGTATTATGCACTAGTACTAATGATTAACTTTTGCATGTCCTACTTTTCACTTCTCTAATCTTGGAGAACTAAACAAAGTTGTCAATTCCTCAACAATAGATCAGAGAATCAAATAATGCAGTAATAACAAACACATACCTCTAGGGGGCGCCTGTGAGTCACTGCTGGACACTTCTTTACTGAATAAAAACTATAGACTTTAATGCATAGTGACATGTTGATTTAAAGTCAGGTACCCCAGCTTTAACCTGGACAAAGCCGTATCAGTGCTGGTCCATACCTGTGAGCGTCAGAGGCCTTCTGGTGCGCACCATGAGCCATGAGGCTGAGCTGATGGTACCTCTTCTGGACGTGCTGCAGGTCCTTCAGAGAGTTAAGGAGCTCGGACTGGATCCTCTGCAGCTGCTCCACACTCTGCACACACACACCTCAGACCAGTAACTACCCACATGGTCTCACATGGTACTCTTTTCAAAACTGTTTCTGTGAGTGAGTGAGTGTGACTGACTGAGTGAGTGAGTGTGACTGAGTGAGTGAGTGAGTGTGACAGAGTGAGTGAGTGAGTGAGTGAGTGAGTGAGTGTGACTGAGTGAGTGAGTGAGTGAGTGACTGAGTGAGTGTGACTGAGTGAGTGAGTGTGACTGAGTGAGTGAGTGAGTGAGTGAGTGTGACTGAGTGAGTGAGTGAGTGAGTGAGTGAGTGTGACTGAGTGAGTGAGTGAGTGACTGAGTGAGTGTGACTGAGTGAGTGAGTGTGACTGAGTGAGTGAGTGTGACTGAGTGAGTGAGTGACTGAGTGAGTGAGTGAGTGAGACTGAGTGAGTGTGACTGAGTGAGTGAGTGAGTGTGACTGAGTGACTGAGTGAGTGTGACTGAGTGAGTGAGTGTGACTGAGTGACTGAGTGAGTGAGTGAGTGAGTGAGTGACTGACTGAGTGACTGAGTGAGTGAGACTGAGTGAATGTGACTGAGTGAGTGAGTGATACTGAGTGAGTGAGTGAGTGAGTGACTGACTGACTGACTGACTGACTGAGTGGGTGAGTGTGACTGAGTGAGTGATACTGAGTGACTGAGTGAGTGAGTGACTGAGTGAGACTGAGTGAGTGAGTGACTGAGTGAGTGTGACTGAGTGAGTGAGACCGAGTGAGTGAGTGAGTGAGTGACTGAGTGACTGAGTGACTGAGTGAGTGAGTGAGTGACTGAGTGAGTGACTGAGTGAGTGAGACCGAGTGAGTAAGTGAGACTGAGTGAGTGAGTGAGACTGAGTGAGTGACTGAGTGAGTGAGACCGAGTGAGTGAGACTGAGTGAGTGACTGAGTGAGTGAGCGAGACTGAGTGAGTGACTGAGTGAGTGAGCGAGACTGAGAGTGAGTGTGACTGACTGAGTGAGTGAGACCGAGTGAGTGAGTGAGTGAGACTCAGTGAGTGACTGAGACTGAGTGAGTGAGACTGAGTGAGTGACTGAGACTGACTGAGTGAGTGAGTGAGTGACTGACTGAGTGAGTGAGACTGAGTGACTGAGTGAGTGAGACCTTCTTGCTCTGGTTTTCTTTGTTGGACGTCTGCAGAGAGAGAGAGCGAAACTCCTCTGAAGCCGTGAGTCGAACTGATGCTGTAGTACCTGCAGCATCCACCAGAGAGCGCCACACCTCCCACACACTGCTGCAACAAACACACCGCTGCTACACAACACACTTCTGTAACACAACACTACACACTGCTACACAGTGTCGTCAGGGCTTGGGACTGACCCAAACTCCTGGACCCAGTCTTTTCTTCAGAACTCACTCAGAGCTGATGGAGTCTGTGTTCTGTCTCTGCCAGTCTCTCTTCTGGTGCAGCACTGCTAACCGCTGCAACGCCTGAAACACACACACACAACACAACCTGATGCAGCACTGCTAACCGCTGCAACGCCTGAAACACACACACACAACACACAACCTGAGGCAGCACTGCTAACCTCTGCAACGCCTGAAACACACACACACAACACACAACCTGAGGCAGCACTGCTAACCTCTGCAACGCCTGAAACACACACACACAACACACAACCTGATGCAGCACTGCTAACCTCTGCAACGCCTGAAACACACATAACACACAACACACAACCTGAGGCTGCAGTGCTAACCTCTGCAACGCCTGAAACACACATAACAAACAACACACAAACTGAGGCAGCAGTGCTAACCTCTGCAACGCCTGAAACACACATAACACACAACACACAAACTGAGGCAGCAGTGCTAACCTCTGCAACGCCTGAAACACACATAACACACAAACTGAGGCAGCAGTGCTAACCTCTGCAACGCCTGAAACACACACACACAACACACAACCTGAGGCAGCACTGCTAACCTCTGCAACGCCCGAAACACACACACGCAACACACAACCTGATGCAGCACTGCTAACCGCTGCAACGCCTGAAACACACATAACACACAGCACACAACCTTAGGCTGCAGTGCTAACCTCTGCAACGCCTGAGACACACAACACCAATCACCACAACACTTTCAATCAGAGCAGGAGCCAGAGGAGGAGCCAGAGCAGGAGCCAGAGGAGGAGCCAGAGCAGGAGCCAGAGGAGGAGCCAGAGCAGGAGCCAGAGCAGGAGCCAGAGGAGGAGCTAGAGGAGGAGACAGAGGAGGAGCCAGAGCAGGAGCCAGAGCAGGAGCCAGAGGAGGAGCCAGAGCAGGAGCCAGAGCAGGAGCCAGAGGAGGAGCCAGAGAAGGAGCTAGAGGAGGGGACAGAGGAGGAGCCAGAGAAGGAGCTAGAGGAGGAGACAGAGGAGGAGCCAGAGCAGGAGCCAGAGGAGGAGCTAGAGCAGGAGCCAGAGCAGGAGCCAGAGCAGGAGTCAGAGCAGGAGCCAGAGGAGGAGCCAGAGGAGGAGCCAGAGGAGGAGCTAGAGCAGGAGCCAGAGCAGGAGCCAGAGCAGGAGCCAGAGGAGGAGCTAGAGGAGGAGACAGAGGAGGAGCCAGAGCAGGAGCCAGAGGAGGAGCCAGAGGAGGAGCTAGAGGAGGAGCCAGAGCAGGAGCTAGAGCAGGAGCCAGAGGAGGAGCCAGAGCAGGAGCCAGAGCAGGAGCTAGAGCAGGAGCCAGAGCAGGAGCCAGAGCAGGAGCCAGAGCAGGAGCCAGAGGAGGAGCCAGAGAAGGAGCTAGAGGAGGAGCCAGAGCAGGGGCTAAAGGAGGTGCTAGAGGAGGAGCCAGACCAGGAGCCAGAGGAGGAGCCAGAGGAGGAGCCAGAGCAGGAGCCAGAGCAGGAGCCAGAGGAGGAGCCAGAGCAGGAGTCAGAGCAGGAGCTAGAGGAGGAGCCAGAGGAGGAGCTAGAGGAGGAGCCAGAGGAGTAGCCAGAGGAGGAGCCAGAGCAGGAGTCAGAGCAGGAGCTAGAGGAGGAGCCAGAGGAGGAGCCAGAGCAGGAGCCAGAGGAGGAGCTAGAGCAGGAGTCAGAGCAGGAGCTAGAGGAGGAGCTAGAGGAGGAGCCAGAGCAGGAGCCAGAGCAGGAGCTTTTAAACTGCCTGCTTTGCTATCATAGGTTGGCAGGAGGCTGGCAGAGCTCTGTGATTGGCTGAGGGTGGAGAGGCTGGCAGAGCTCTGTGATTGGCTGAGGGTGGAGAGGCTGGCAGAGCTTTGTGATTGGCTGAATTTACACGTAAGCTTCACGACAACATCCAGGAGCGTAGCTAAGGTACAGTTTAGCTCTGAGTTACAGGAAGATACTGTAACATGGTTAAAAACTCATAACCCTCAGTTTCCCCTCAGTGTGATGTAAACAAAACCACTGTTTGTGTTATTTATAGACTGAGGTACTTTGGAGAAGGATCGATGGCTTTTCCAGTCAGAAGCAGAGACACGAATAACTCACCTGAGCGTACTCTCTCTCTATAGAGGACCGCTGCTTACAGAAGGACCTGAGGACACAGACACAGAGACAGACACAGGGTCACAGACACAGACACAGGGTCACAGAGACAGACACAGGGTCACAGACACAGACACAGGGTCACAGAGACAGACACAGGGTCACAGACACAGGGTCACAGACACAAACACAGGGTCACAGAGACAGACACAGGGTCACAGACACAGACACAGGGTCACAGAGACAGACACAGGGTCACAGACACAGACACAGGGTCACAGAGACAGACACAGGGTCACAGACACAGACACAGGGTCACAGACACAGACACAGGGTCACAGAGACAGACACAGGGTCACAGACACAGGGTCACAGACACAAACACAGGGTCACAGAGACAGACACAGGGTCACAGACACAGACACAGGGTCACAGAGACAGACACAGGGTCACAGACACAGACACAGGGTCACAGAGACAGACACAGGGTCACAGACACAGACACAGGGTCACAGACACAGACACAGGGTCACAGAGACAGACACAGGGTCACAGACACAGGGTCACAGACACAGGGTCACAGACACAGAGACAGACACAGAGACAGACAGTGTGAGAGCAGTAGTAACAGCAGTATCAGCAGCAGCAGCAGCAGCAGCAGTAGCAGCAGTAGCAGCAGCAGCAGCAGTAGCAGTAGCAGCAGCAGCAGCAGTAGCAGTAGCAGCAGCAGCAGCAGCAGCAGCAGCAGCAGCAGTAGCAGCAGTAGCAGCAGTAGTAACAGTAGCAGCAGCAGTAGCAGCAGTAGCAGCAGTAGTAGCAGCAGTAGCAGCAGTAGCAGCAGTAGCAGTAGCAGCAGCAGCAGCAGCAGTAGAAGCAGTAGCAGTAGCAGCAGCAGCAGCAGCAGTAGCAGCAGCAGCAGCAGCAGCAGCAGCAGTAGTAGCAGCAGCAGTAGCAGTAGCAGCAGCAGCAGCAGCAGCAGCAGCAGCAGCAGTACCTGATGTCCTGCAGCAGGTCTGTGTCCTGCTGATGTCTGGTCTGTATGGCTCTGATCTGATCTGAGAACAGCTGCTTCACTCTGTGACTGTCCTTCAGCTGCAAATCATTCAAACTGTTTATATAAATAAAAAACGTAAAAAACTAATTGCACACTGCAAAAAAAAGATCAAATCTGAGGGAAAAAAGCTTGAATCAGTAAAAACAAACATTCTGTTCTAAGCAGATTCTCCAACGAGACAAAGACATTTAATGATTAAAGAACTGATTATTTCCTCATTCCATTCTTTTTAAAACAACATCATTTTGGTTTTGTCCCATTGGACAATCTGGTTATATACATTTGGCTAAAATTAGACACATTTTTGGCTTAATTTTCATCACTTTTACAACTGAAGAAAGACTGCGACGGTTTCACAATTCAAAAAAGTTTACATTAAGTAAAGTTTCACTGTTTAAAATTCAGAAAATATAGACAAAAACAAGAGCCATAGTTTCACATACCCTCACAGGCGACTGCATCCTGCTCCTCTGGTGTGTGTGTGTGTGTGTGTGTGTCTCTGTGTCTCTGTGTGTGTGTGTCTCTGCCTGTGTGTGTGTGTGTGTGTGTGTGTGTGTCTCTGCCTGTGTGGGTGTGTGTGTGTGTGTCTCTGCCTGTGTGCGTGTGTGTCTCTGCCTGTGTGGGTGTGTGTGTGTCTCTGCCTGTGTGGGTGTGTGTGTGTGTGTGTCTCTGTGTCTCTGTGTGCGTGTGTGTCTCTGCCTGTGTGTGTGTGCGTCCCTCTCTCCTCTTTCTCTTCTTTGCTTCAGAATTGAAGCAAATATTGGCTTTTTAACAGCTTTATTTCATATTTTAAAACTTCTTATGCTCTGATTAGAATGTAATTTCAAAACGTTCTACGATCATTATTTATCATTATTATTGTATGACTCGGATCGTACGCTCTGATTGGCTGATATTTTCCCGTCTCAGACCGTTACCATGACAATCGGTCCGCAGCTCGTATCAGATTTGATTTCTTTCCTCGGTAAAAAAGAAATATTTAGCGACGACTGGGGGCATTCTCAGTGAATTCTATCATCAGGACGAGTTGGAAGAGCCAGAGGAAGTAATAACAGCAAATAACGACCAAAACACAACTCCAACAGTCAAGAAGAGATCGACAACTTGGTTACAGACCAGAAAGGTAAAACCAGGACCAGGAAAACCAAGTGGGACATGAACATCACAAATATGTAAAAAGCTTTGGTAAAGACACAGACTGAGAACTTACAGCGGGCGCCTCAATCCTCTGATCACTTCTTCATGTCACAGTTTGACACTTTGGTCAAATGTGTTTTTAGTTTAAACTGATCGATATTTGCACAAATAAAAAATAGTCATATAATAAAACAGAAACAGAGTACAGAGAAATATCAGACAGACCTTGCGCTCGTTTAATAAGCCGTTAATAACAGACTCTCAAACCAAAAATGGCCGCTGCCCTTTGGCAACGCACTCTGTGCTTGTACTTCAGGTGTAAAATACTCAGATTACTCTGACAGTAGTTCGTACACTTCGTCACAACTGTCTCTGAGAGAAGCTAACGGAGCTAGCCACGCTCAAAAACACTAATATCAATAACACTGGCTCTGAGAGAAGCTAACTATGGAAGCCCGTTACCGCCATGAAAAAAAAAAAGCATACAGAAAGTCAAAATGTTGAGTTTAAAAGTCAAAATTACGACTTTTAAAAGTCAAAATTACGAGTTTTCAACTGCGCATGTGC